CTTATTTAAAAGACAGTTGTACCATGGAAAGTAATTTGTTGTTGTTGTTGTGGGCTTCTCTCCAGCAATGTTGCTTCACAAAGGGACCTGGCGGCACATCACTAATGTATTTGAGATCTTTGGACAAATCTGCCATTAATGGGGGGAAAGCCTTCGGGATTCGTATGTTCTTCAGTTCTGAACTGAGGTAAAACAATGTTCTGTAAAATTCTTTGATGAAGGATATCCAGTGGCTGTTCCCTTGCTTGGGTTGAACAAAAGGCCTGTGGGATGATTGAACTATTAAGCTCAAGGAATATAAATAAAATATGTGTGGCTGTCAGGCTGCGAGAGCCATCCATGGATCCTTATCCAGACACACACTGGGCTCCCTCAGCTGCACCCACAAATGTCCTGGCTGATGAGAAATGCTTTGTATTAGGGAAGAAGAGTGACGCCTTCATATATAAAACCAGTGTAATCTTAGCTTCATAGAAAGAAGGTGGACACGAGTGGCAACCAGTTTGACTGCTGTCTGTTGAAAGGATACACCAAGAGATAGAAACTGCCAGCAGATAAGACAATTGAGCAGAAGGTTGGACTAGAAGACCTCCAAGATCCCTTCCAACCTTATTATTCTATGTTCTCATATCCCCATCTTGAAACTTTCCCCCATACTAGGAGATATTTTCTATAAGGAAAAGCTATATTTGATATTTTTTCTCAACCAGGAAGGTAAATGGGGGAGAGGACTATGAACCATATAGGATTACTTCCAGGTATCTTCTGCCTGAATCAGAGCAGGATGGGGTCATGCCTCATCTTCCCTGCCACCCCTCAAGGAATACGGTGTGCAAAACTAAGATGTGATTGAGCACCCAAGGCAGGGGAAGACCTTCTCTTCCATGTCTGCTGCTGGAGCGATGGCTTCTCAGTGATGTATAGCATTCTGCAGGTTGTCAAAAGTCAACTGACCCTGGTGGAACCCCATGGGGCCACCTGAAAGAGGTCAACTCAAGGAAAAACATCCTTCACGGGGTATGAAATTGCTATGGAACCTGTTAGGTTCAGCTTGTAGCTTACTCCTAACCTGTTGGTCAGGCAATATATCTGTTTCTTAAGAAACAACTGAGCCACGTAATCAGGGTTTGCTGAACCCTGTAATTAGGCTACAGTGCATAAATAAGCAGCGCAGAGAAGCGTTCTTTGTTCCTGATTGTTCCTGTTCCTGTTGCTCCCTGCGTCTTTCTGCTGATTGATGTTAGACTGAATTGTTATATGGTACTGTATACCAAGAGTTACTAAAGTCTGTTTGCTTTGGTAAGGGAAGATACTTACTGGACTGATATTGCTGTTTATGACCTTGGACTGTTTTACCTACACCGAGACTGCTTATTATCTTGTATATAAAGTATTTTTCTCACACGAGCTGCATGTTTATCTCCTTCCCTGTGTGTTTCTGCTCTGCTCGTTGCACAAGCAACAAATACTTTTTACATACACCCTAACAGAACCCACTTTGGCAACAAGATTGTCACAATTTAGACATTTCAAAATAGAATCAGTGAAATCACAGCAACGATAGATTAGTTGAACCGTATCTCATCTGAGTTTCATTTGTTGGGGAACATGAATGAGATGTTGCGCTTATTTGTTTGACTTATATCTTAGCTTTATTTTGATCAACACAAAATCCGGTATACACAGTACTGCTCCTTGTATTTTCCCTACAACCACTGCCCTGTGAGATGGGTTGGGCTAGAAGACTGATGGTTCTCAGGGAAAGTAAAGAACTATATGGAGCTTTATAATTGCATAACAATAGCACTTAAGACTTATATACTGCTCCATAGTGCTTTGCAGCACTCTAGACTGCTTACAATGTCATCATATTGCCCCCAACATCTGGGTCTTCATTTTATCGACTTTGGAAGGATGGAAGGCTGAATTAACCTCATCAGGATCAAACTCCAGGCTGTGGGCAGTTAGCCTGCAATACTGCATTCTAACCACTGCACCACGAGGGCTCATTACATTTCACCTGCCCCACCTTTATTATTTTTACAAATAACTCCAGGCTGTGAACATGAGAGCCTCAATGGCGCAGTGGTTAGAGTGCAATACTGCTGACCGCCGGCTGCCTGCAATTTGGCAGTTTGAATCTCACCAGGCTCAAGGTTGACTCAGCCTTCCATCCTTCCGAGGTCGGTAAAATGAGGACCCAAATTGTCGGGGGCAATAGGCTGACTCTGTAAACCGCTTAGAGGGCTGTACAGCGGTATATAAGTCTAAGTGCTATTGCTATAGCCAATACTTCTTCCTCTTCTTTTCCCCCCACATATTCCAAGTTTCCATAGCAGAAGTAACTGAAAGATGTAGAAAGTGAAATCAGTTTGCAAAATTGTCCACTGACCTGGAAGAGGTTCTGAGGCAGATGATGATGGGGAGGATGGTCCCTTGATGGTTACCTTCTGGGAGCTTAGATTAGGTCATGGCACCCTTAGAACCCACAGTTCTAAGACTTACTGTTGTATGTGATGAGCAAGTTCCAGTATTAAACCAGGCAACTCTAAGGCCCATTTTCAAAATTTCACCTTGCATGACATACATACGTTGGAAAAGTAATTTTGTTCAGAAGACCATTTAAGAAACCAAAGTCATATTATCAATAATTAAGGAACTTGTTCCACTTTTAAGTAATGAGAAAAAGGCAGTTGTTTAAAAGAATGTGGCAATTTCTGTCTTTTTTCCTTGACTGGAAGCACATTTGTTCTAAAACATTGTGCACCTGTATCTCTAGCAACATGCTGCAGTCAGTTCTCATGTGTATCAGATGGCACATATAATGCAGTAGAAGTGCTGGATATGCTGAATTTAAAACACACAAGTGAACACTCTGTTCCAAGGTGACTCCGATTAAGCACATAAATCTTAGCTTGTCTCAGCAGGCCTTTCTTAATCTAGGAGAGCAGTATTTCACAGAAAGGCCCAAAACAAGAACATAAAGGCAGTGGTCAAGATAGAAATATATAACATCTCCGTGCTTCTGCTATACGTCCTTGTCTTATTCTTACAACCCTATTAATCTATATATGAACTTCATGTTGCAAGAGAAACAAACCAAGCTCCCAAGTTCAGATGATCCCCTAAGAAGATAGATAGATAGATAGATAGATAGATAGATAGATAGATAGATAATTTTATTTCTATACCGTCCCTCTCCTGAAGGACTCGGGGCGGTGCACAGCCAAGTAAAAAACACAATACAAATCCCAATTAAATTTAAAAATTATTAAAATTATTACATTTACGGCCAAGATTCGTTAAAACCCAAAAATTTAAAACTCCGAATTTAAGGGTCTTGAGGGTACAGCGAAAAACTCGGAGGTCAGAGATTGTGCGTATTTCCGGGGGCAGTTCGTTCCAAAGGGCAGGAGCTCCCACAAAGAAGGCTCTCCCCTGGGTGTCGCCAGCCGACATAGTTTGGCCGACGGCACCCTGAGGAGTCCCTCTCTGTGGGAGCGAACCGGTTGGTGGGAGGCTATCGGTGGCAGAAGGCGGTCTCGTAAGTACCCAGGTCCTGAGCCATGGAGCGCTTTAAAGGTGGTAACCAACACCTTGAATCGCACCCGGAAGACCACTGGGAGCCAGTGCAGCTCGCGCAGGAGAGGTGTTACATGAGCGCAACGAGTTGCACCCAAGAAGTCACCTTGAGACACTTAACATGCTAGTTGTATGTGAGATGAATATGCTTAACCACGGTTAGGATTAACCCAGTTGACACTGAGTGACAAATTAAGTACCCAAATAATGTAGTGTGTTATTGAGTTTAAGGACCGAGCTGTTCAGGTTGTTCGCTGCACCCCCAGCCCACTAGACACAATTAGAGCAGCCTCTAACAGCAGCAGTGATATATGAGTGTACCATGTAGGTTTACAAATCTAATCCTCCAGTGTCATTAATTACTGTGTTTAATCATCTGCCTCCTATGCATGGCATTTATAAGATTGGTTGTGCTAACCGGTTCTCTAAGAAATTTTATGAACTAATCCATCAAAGTAATAAATGTGAGGTTTTTTTGAGGAGAGCCACACGAGTGTGAACTACTCAATCTATTTGTTTAGCTACTATCAATATTAATAGAGTATGAGCGAAGTCTGAAATAGATATCCAGAAAGGAAGAAAAGCTGCATGATTAGTATATTCCTTCTCTGGAAGAAGGATCGGAGACATGCTCTTCAAAGACATCCTTAGTACCATACAAGGTCAGATCGGCTTCATCTAAGAAACTCCACCAGATACATCTTTTTGCAGCTCTGTCTTCTTAAATAGTAAGTGTGACCCACTTTTTCCCCAAACATACCTTCCCTTCGTAAGAAAAGCACTTACCGTATAAGACACACTTCCCCCCCGCAAAAGAGGGTGAAAATTTGGGTGCCTCTTACACACCAAATGTAGCCAAAAATGCGAGGCACGGAAGAGGCATAGTCTATGGCAATCCCTGCAGGCTGGAACAGGTGATTGGGGGTATTCCAGGAGGCCCATCTACCAGCCTATCAGCTGCTCGTGCTGAATCAGGCTGCAATAATGTGCTGAAGCTGACCTGGCTGTTCACTATTTGCTGCAAGGACTATTTGTCAGTGTTTCAGCAGCAAGCAAAACACAAGCAGAGGAGAGGAGTTTCAGTTTCAGTTTTAGTTTCAGAGATCAGCACAGCATGCAGCTTTAGAACAACTGACCTAAGCCACGTCCAGTCTCCTTGCTGTCTCCTTCCTTGTTACTCACACAGCAAATACTGTTTCAGTTTCCAAACAGTCTCACACACTGACAGGACGCTAGCCAGATGAATACCAATGGATGCTGGTAGGCAGAGGCAGAATTTTTTTTTCCTCTTATTTTGCTCCCCCAAAACTAAGGTGCATCTTATACTCCGGAGCGTCTTATACTCCAAAAAATACGGTATTTGCAGTAACTATCCCACATTTGTAGAATAAATCAAGACGCAAGAATTGAAACAAAGCTGGCTTTTTCTACTGATTTTTTTTATTGTAGACCTTGATAAAAGGATTACATGCCATTAAGATATTTGAAAAGAAATGTTAAGATCAATTGTTGGCTAACAATTTGCTATTCATTACCGGTCAATACTGATAAGTTTCACAAAGAAGAAAAGAAAAAAAATATCTGACCGAGGACTTCAAAAATGCAACATTCCAAACATAAATTGACACAGAAGAGAGACACCCCCGAGTGACGGGAGTGAAAAAGGTTCTTGGATGCTTCTGATCTTCGTATCAGAGAGCCTGGAAAACTAGAATAATAGAAAAGGTAGTGAACTGACACAGATCGAAACTGAAATTTTTTTTAACTGTTTTTATTTTTTTGCAAATGCATTCAAGTGTTTTGCTGGTAGATGTTGCCTGCTAAAAAGCAGGTTTGAAAACAGATAAACAAAAAAACAAAAAACAAAAAACAAAAAAGCGAAGCTTTGTAAGAAACCCAAATATCCAACATAGGATCGATTGAAAAGCAACACTTTAGAAGCACCAGTGCTGCTGCTGTATCGTTTTTGTCCCATATCAAATCTTCATACAAGGAAGACTGATTAGAATCGCAATAATCTGGGAGGGTTGGAGGTAAACGTTTTCCTCCTTGTCGCCAACCCAAGTAAGAGAGTTCATATTTTAAAATGTTCAAGCGTTCATTATATACTCGGGCAGCTCTGAAGCAAGCTGAAATCAGCAGGGTCACCCCCATCAAAACTGAGTTCAAAGAAACCATCATTTTCCCTGTCTGGAGATTTTATAAAGCCTTCAGTTGATGCCCTCCCAAGAAATGACAGTTCAGTTTTGGCCCACAAAGGGCATAGAAAAACTGGATTGAGAAAGTGCCCCCCCGCCCGAGTGTAAATTCATCTCAATGGTGGAAGTTGAGAGAGAAAATGCTTCTAAGCAACTTGAAAGAATAGGAAAGTTGACCATTAAACAAAACATAATTTTTTTAAAAAAATATGATGGTTTAGCCCAATAGAAGTTGCACATCTAGAGTATTTCAAGCTTACAGATCAAACTAGTTGTTTTGATAGCAGGCAAACATAGGCAATGATCTGCTATGTACAGGAAAGAGAAACCAACAGCCCTAAAAATAAGGAGCTAGAACAGAAAAAAGATATCAGGATGGTGTCTAGGCTTCAAGGCAGTGTCCATTTGATAGGGTTGGATCCCAAAAGCCTGAAGGATGGGAATTACTTAGAATTCTTCAAGAATTCAAATGCACTTGCAAATCTTTTGATTCAAGCAACAAAGCAGCTGGTTTGTATCAATGGCTTCTGAACATCTTAGAAAGTGATGAAACAGGTCATTAGTTGCTTGCTAGCATGATCTTCAAAGCTTTTATTCTGCGCCATGATTTTATTTGGCATTTCCTGGAGCTCTAAAGCTTGTCTCAAGAAAGCAGCTAGGAGAATACCAAACAAGGTACTGCAATATATGCTATCACAAGTTTTTTTAAAATGAAAACAGGTGTGGGGGAATCATGCATATTTCAAACCCCACCCCAAAATGGAATGTGGTGGGAAAAGAAACTTCCATGGCTCTGAGAATTGAAATACAAAAAAAAAAAAAAAGTAATACCAACAAGATGAAGACATCTTCTGGAGACAATCATAGAAAAACTGAAAGACTGGACAAATTTGATGGCAAACATGCTACCTGGAACTCCAGGTGATATGAATTAAGAGGTATGATTAATCTGCAAGAATTCTAAATTCTAATCAGGATGCTGTGGATAATCAGTTTTTAAGCTGGATTTTACACAGAAGAGTCTTTATGGTACAAGATGTTATTTGATTAACGTAAGTCTTTGTCATATTTATGGCTGCTTTGGTAGACTCAAGGAAAAAAGATGTTACCTTGAAGAGGTCCAATCGCCACCTTCAACAAACTATAATCATATTTATTTAACAGGATATAAAATAGACAAGCAAATTCCAAACAGTTTTATCTCCTAACATACAAAGAGAGCTTCCTGAGAATACCCAGGTACCATCATGAAAGTTAAGAAAAAACAATCCAAGAATGTGAACAAAAGACATTCAGGCTGGCTTAAATACTACACATATTTGGGGAGGAGGGCTGAGACACAGATTGTTGGTAAAGGTCCCCAAAACGAAATTTATGCTTAGATAACGGTTTGGTCTGCCGTTGAATTTTTCATAAGCAACTTCCCGGACCCCAGAACTGATGAAAACAGCACAATTTGCCAAATTTAATTTTACTCCCAGAGGCAATGCATTACCAGGAGTTCATATTAAAAATGGTAAAATTGTTATGCTGACCTTGAGGGGAAAAAAATGGAGGGATTTCACCTATTCACACTAGGTTTAATCCAGTCTACTTTGTTCAAAATAAATAGAGTGGGCTTCTCCTACTAGGTCCCAATAGGAAGTATTGGCCCACAATTCTGACCATAAATTAGCCAGCGGGGACATTATCTATGCCAATTGAGGTTGCTAGGAATTACAGCTTCAAATGTTTGAAGGGGATTTGATTGGGGAGATCGTTCTAAATTGTTGCTTAGCCATAGGTGATTTTTGATGAAAAGGAGAACTGCTTCTGCTTCTGAAGACCAGGTATCTTCTCTTAGGATACTGGAGGTGTTTAATTTGACAACTTTTTGCATGCTGGGAGGGAACCGGGAAAGATCCAAAATTGAAAGCAATTTCTTGCAAGACTAAACAGCAATAAAGGCATCCTAGCCATCAGAATATAATATCAGTAATGTCACTCTGGATTTTCAATATGAACCAACAATGTGAAAAGTAGACAATCTCTGTGGATTATTATTATTATTATTATTATTATTATTATTATTATTATTATTATTATTATTGACTCTTGCAACAATTTCAAATGAAAACAGCTGGCTCCATTTTACACACCTACCTATTTATTGGCTCTTTTCATATAGTACATCTGGATCATTCTCTGACGGAACGTAGCAAAGGTATCTTCTTTGTTCTTCCCTGCAACACCCAGGCCCTCCCCTGCTGAGGTAGAGCCCCTATGGGAGGCAAAAAACAAAATTGAAGTAAATATGGAGACAGCTCAATTTCTTTACTGTCCGCTCCAATGACAAAGTGCAGGATGAATAAAGTGTGTGCGTGTGAGTGTGAGTGTGTGTGTGTGTGTGTGTGTGTGTGTGTGTGAGAGAGAAACCTAGCTGCCAAACTTTCAAAAAGATAATCAAGTTTGAAGTTGTTGATCTGTGAGTTATTGGGAGCCTAAAATCAGCTGCGGTGTCAAATCTCAGAGGCTTGCAAAAAGTACCCGATCACCTTCCCAAAGGAACTGAGCCTGCTAGAGTTATTTACAAGACCTGTTAGAAGGCATTAACTTTCACTAGTTAAGCAGTATCCCAGATTGCTAATCTGTAAGACTTTCGTTCCCAGAAAAATAATCTCCTGTCCTCCTCTTTCTCCCCAAGGAGCCGAGTGACGCGAATAAGATTCTCAAGGAAGGTTTAGCAAAGAAAGAAGCTAGAGAATCCTCCAGTAAACTTCGTGATCAAACAGGGATTAGAACTTGGCGGCTCTTCCCGAGGTCTAAAGCAACCACTTATCCGCTACCAAGCAAACAGAAGATATTCATGGTTACAAAAAACAGAAGGAGCTGCCACGAAGGCCAGGAAAAAGAAATGGCCTTCCCGGCTTCTTTCCATGGGCGTCACTCAGTGGAATTAAAGGTCTTCTACCATTGAAAATAATGAACCTCAAAGATGTAGATAACTCTTAACGATGATCAGCAATATGCTCTCTTCATTTTCCTTTTATTCTTCCGCCTTCTCCAAAATGAGCAGCAAATGCACTGTTAAGACTCTGGTGCAAAGCAATTTGCTGGATGCCTGTTTTTATGAAGCAGTATATGAACCTCGGCAAAAGATTTTGAATGCGATGCTTTTTTTAGGTTTGCAACTTGGAAAAAAATGTTCTGAGTTACATGCAGAATATATAAACAAATGAGTAAAATTAATTTGGAATAGAAGCAATGAGAGTGATGCCTTTTTAAAAAAACAACAACAGTCCTGTATAAACTATGAAGAAGGAGAAGAGAAGACCAAAGTCAAATTGGTTGAGATATAAATGAGATATAAAGAGTAAGGGTTTTCTCAATACCCTTGAGATTAACTTTTCTCTTAGAACAATATTTCCAAATGTGTAGATCATGGTGAAATAAACAGCCAACTTGTAAAAGCAAGATTCAAGGCTTTTATATTAATTATTCTGATATGGGAAGGCCAGATCCTGAAGATGAAACTCAAATACTTTGGCCACCTAATGAGAAGGAAGGACTCACTGGAGAAGAGCTGGGAACGATTGAGGGCAAAAGAAAAAGGGGACGACAGAGAACGAGGTGGCTGGATGGAGTCACTGAAGCAGTCGGTGTGAGCTTAAATGGACTCCATAGGATGGTAGAGGACAGGAAGGCCTGGAGGAACGTTGTCCATGGGGTCACGATGGGTCGGACACGACTTTGCAACTAACAACGACAATAATCCTCATATGGAAAAATCATTTGGATCTGTTTTGGCTCTGTCATGAAATATTAATCAACCATGTATCTAATAAGGCACCATCCAACAGGGGGAGCCAATTATAATTGATGGGAAGGGGGCAGGAAGATATAGGAGTTGTATTCTTATTAAGAATTCCCAGTGGCATCTTCTGGGCCAAATGTAGAGATTTTATCAATCCAGAGATATTTTTAAATTATACGCTGCCCAGAGTTCCCCCTGTTCCAAAATATGATAAATAAATACAGGTAGTCCTCAACTTACAATCGTTCATTTAGTGACCATTTGAAGTTACAACGGCACTGAAAAAAGCGATTTATGACCATTGCAGCATCTCCATGGTCACGTGATTTACATTCAGATGCTTCAGATTCACCTTTATGACAGCGGAGTCATGTGATCCCCTTTTGCAACCTTCTGACAAGCAAAGTCAATGGGGAAGTAGATTCACTTAACAACCATGTTACTAATTTAAGAACTGCAGCGATTCACTTAACAAATGTGGTGAGAAAAAGTCGTAAAATGGGGCAAAACTCACTTAACAGATTTCTCATTTAGCAATTTTGGGCTCCATTGTGGTCGTATGTTGAAGACTACTTGTATTGGGTGTGAACAGGAACAGACTATTTGGGGGTCATTTTGTCTTTGCAATATTCAATTCGGCATTATTATTTTTTTTGGTACTGCTATAAAGCTCTGGGATTCTGACCTGTGTCTTACGCATGGTTGGCGGTTACATAAAGGGATCAGTTCACATGGATGAATGGTCCATTAGGATTGAAGCAGTCTTGATATTTAAGGGACTCGCAGAGTAGGAGGACAAAATAGAAAAGCTCAGGTACATGATCTGACCTTCAGAAAGCTGAAACAATCCTAGCCCACTTATTGAGAAACAACTGTGCCAAATTTCATATGGGAAGAGGTAAGCACTGCACAAATCAAAGAGAGATTTCAGATAAACTAATTCTTATCATCACGAGCCTTTTGGATTGTGAGATAGAAGGTCTGCTGCCTATAGACTGTTCTTCCACTCAGTCCTATCTCCATCTTTGATGCAATCCAAGCAGATGGAAAACGAAGAATTGGAAGCTCCTACTGATTAGATTTCCTGAACGGCATCACTCTGTGATGGCATTCAACACTCCCTCAGTGTTGAGGGAACAAATAATTCCCTCAACACTGTCAAACTAGTTACTACGTCTGCATTACTATTAAATCTCATTGTTCCTATCACCCATCTCCTCCTATTTGACTGTATGACTGTAACCTTGTTGCTGGTATCCTTAAGATTTACATTGACTGTTTCCTAATATGATTTGACAGCTTATTTGTTCCCTATGACTATCATTAAGTGTTGTACCTTATGATTCTTGACGAATGTATCTTTTCTTTTATGTACGCTGTGACAATATGCACCAAAGACAATCACATTTGGCCAATAAAGAATTCAATTCAATTCAATTCTGCACTGGCTCCCGGTGGTCTTCCGGGTGCGCTTCAAGGTTTTGGTTACCACCTTTAGAGCGCTCCATGGCTTAGGACCTGGCTACTTACGGGACCGCCTACTACCACAAACAGCCTCCCACCGGCCGGTACGCTCTCATAGAGAGGGGCTCCTCCAGGTGCCGTCAGCCAAACAATGTCGAATGGCAGCCCCTAGTGGGAGGGCCTTCTCTGTGGGGGCACCTACTATCTGGAACGAGCTCCCCCCGGAGATACAGAGGATCCCGAATCTGCGCACTTTCCGCCGTGCTTTGAAGACACTCCTATTCCAGCAGGCCGGCATGGCCTAATTTTTTCCCCCTTCTTTTAAATTTTTAAACTCAAATTTTAATTCGTTTTAAATTATTGGGAGTTTTAAATTGTCTCGGGCAAAAATTATTTAATTGGGTTTTAATCATGTTTTAACTTTTGTATTTATGTGTTTTATTTTGTGCCTGTTCACCGCCCTGAGTCCTTCGGGAGTAGGGCGGTATACAAATTTAATAAAATGAAAATAAAATGAAAAATGAAATTCAATTCAATTCAATTCTCTCTGGTCAAGAGAGAGCAAGAATAAAAAATGGTTCGATCTGGTTTGAATAAAAAAAAAGCCAGAGCAGCATAGGAAGATATGGAATACTTCCAAATCATTTTGAGAAAGCTGCTCAGAAAGGATGCATTGAAGTAGGTCAGCATCTTAAGAAACAGAAAACATGCAATTGATTCCTTGTGTTGAGCACTGCCATCCTGAGACCACGGCTGCAATGCAATTTTTCCTAGACACCCCTAGTGGCGAAGAACATGAAAACTGGCCTCATTTAACTAGTGGCTGAGGCTCCCTGCTCTAACTTATAATATAGAAATTAATAAAACATTGCCAATATTTGGGTGGTGGTGATTAATGCAATGTGGGATCAAAGGTGCTTTTTCAAGAGGCAACTGGACCTTCTGGTTTTTCTTTGAAGACGTTTCGCTTCTCATCCAAAGAAGTTTCTTCCGTTCTAAGTATCTCTCCTTCCATTTTCTCCTTCCACATCCTTCCATTCCCCACCATCCAGTCAGAGCTGAAGAAGCTTCTTGGATGAGAAGCGAAATGTCTTCAAAGAAAAACCAGAAAGTCTTCAAAAAAGCATCTTTGGGACAACGGTGACCTGGATAACTGAGAATCTCCATAAACATGGGATCAAAAGGCAGCTCAGATGAAAGCAAAAGGTATCCAGATTTAAAGCTATGGTATTCTGTGCCTTGGGAATGATGGTAAATTGGAAAAGATTCAGCAGCGATTAGTCCTCCTGACTCTCTGTACTGGAAGATTACTAAAGTAGGAGACGAAAGAGAAAAATACAAAAGGGAAATGGGCAATTCTGCCATGGAACAAAACAATTCAGCTCCTCTGTCTAGTGCTCAATTATCGCATCATGGCATACAATAGCAATACTTTCTTTTACAGAGATTATTTAGAAGGCACTGAACCCACTTCAGCACAAAGAGAAAGACTGGTAGGGAAGTCAGACATGGTTCAGAAAGTTTTGTCAGTGATCTTGTTGCTGAGGGATCTTGGGGTTACTGTAATCTGAAGGACAGAGTTTGTAAACAACTAGTTTCTGACAACAACAGGAAGGAGATGAATTAAATCTAGCAACTTTGTGCATACAGGATAGATTACTGCAGTATGGCTGGCTGGGGAATTCTGGGAGTTGAAGTCCACAAGTCTTAAAGTTGCTAAGGTTGGAGACGGCCTACTCTACTGTACAGTTGTGGATGCCCAGTTGAACCTACTCAATTACCACATACCAATACAGGTACTGTATTTTTCAGAGTATAAGACGCACTGGACTATAAAATGTACCTAAATTTAGAAGAGGAAAACAACAACAAAATTTTTGGCCTACCTTTTTTCGGGCCTTTTTCAGTCTTTTTTTGGCCTGTTTCTGGAGCTTTTTTTTTTGGCTCATATTCGAGGTTTTTTTTGGCCCTTTTGGGGGGCTTTTTTCAGCCCATTTTTGAGG